TATAGAGTCAGCAGTTGGGACCCCGTTTTTTGTGGGATTTGTGGAAAAAATCTGTGTGCTCATGAATATTTGTGGGTTAATATATTCAACATTTTTGCGGGCTATTATATATTCATTTTTGTGAGCCTTTCACTTTATCTCCGAACAATAGTCCTTTTGCTCTCTATTGTTTTGCGCAAGCGGTTATTTATTGCTTCAATCTGGGCTGTTAGTCATGGCAACCTTGTCATATAACTTATGTGTTGGCAATCTAATTATGCAATGTTGATAATATTTTATGTCAAGGTTCAACGATCGCATAAATTACTATCTGAAGAAAAGGTTAACGATCACTTTTGTTCTGAGACAATAGGTCACCTGCTACAGGAGTTTAAATAACCAAACATTATGATTTTCAGCCTTTTTACATTTCTAACTATTGATTACTATACCTCACTTTATATTGTGAAGGCATTCATTACTTGGAAAACTTCCGAGAGGCCCGGAAAGGACCGGAAATTTGGCCCAAAAGCTGTCCGAAAGTTCCGGAAAGGACCGAAGCTGTCCGGAAAGGCCCGAAGCTGACCGGAAATGGCCCGAAGCMGACCGGAAATGGCCCGGAGAATGAGCTCCTGTTTCATCAGCATTTTAAAATAAGCAACAACAARGCAATCATTTATTTCAGTTTGTTTTTATTTTTCAATCATCAGTGATTACAATATATCTTAAGAAAGATCGTTTACACTTCTAACTTTGACCATTTGTAAGGACTGCGCCTTATTCGTTGTGATCGCCTTAATCTAGGGGCGCTTGAAAAAGGGCCAAACGTTTTGTGAGAATCGCTATCCAAATAATTCTTGATTGGATATCGGGMRCTCTTYCGWTTTTTTCTYGSRGGAGATATAGTGGATGGTGGCGTTAGCAGCGCAGAATATTGAAACTGCGGGCTTGGTGAGACTGCGCTTGTGAAGGGAGAATCATTTACTGGCGACGACGGTTGATCATCTTCTTCTTCACTTGATACTTCCGCTGAAACATGAGCTTCATTTTCTAACAAAGGAGCTTCATTCTGTAGCGGCTCAGGTTCATGACGCATAAAATGTGCTGGTGGCTCAACAGTCGACAGAGAAGCTTGTGGGAAAGGAGAGTTGGATTCCAACTTTTTCTTAAACTGTAAAAAGTTATTTTGAAGTTGTACATATTGGCGTACTTTCTGGTCAGTATCTATGTTGGAATTCTTTAGCAGATCACCCATTTGCTTCTGTAGGCTTTGCATCTTGGAGGTGATGGGAGGGAGATCATCACGTTGCTGCTTGATGTATTTCACCAATTCTCTCGATACTTCATTATTCTCGAAGGAAACCTCTTTATGTTTCTCTTCCCCAGGCAAAACATTGGTTCGAAGCCTACATTGGTCTGGAGTAGTGGTTTTCAAATCAATGAAAAGATATCCAAATGGGCGACTTACCGCCTCTTCATATTTCTGAAGAAAATAACTTGTTTTTCTAGGGTACATTTGCTTTGCCAGTGTAAGAATCTGAAGTTTATCTCTTGGGTTCTTGAATATTACCAAATAATGACAATTTAAGCTGATGTCCCTGTTTCCTTTGCCTTGATGAAAAAGATTTTGGACCAAGTAGATTACACTCAAGTTGCGATGATGGGATCCCTGTGTAAACAGGTTGATCACCTGCTTGTCATTACTGGCGGAGCTCATTTGGTCATCAATGACGATAAGATTGCGCACGTTGACGTCAAAATAATCGTCATGCTCAATATTGGTGGGGATTCCCCGCACAAATTCAATCTCGGGTATGGTCTGCATCATTTCTTCATAGGCCTGCTGCCATCTTGAGTAACACCATAAGATTCTCTGTGGTATTGGTTTGATAGTGTGAGCTTTGTTGCGCACAAGACGTTGGACCCAGGTTGTTTTTCCACATCCAGTCATTCCAGAGARCATACAGGTAAAAGGGTGTTTCAGACGAAATGTTTCACACTTGTCCTTGTTTAAATTCATAGGAATTTCTCTTGACWTGATGTTAGGATGCTTCTTTTCATAGTCAAGCCATTTCTTTCGAATATCACCCTCCATGTGATGGGTAAGTGTTAAATGACTCCACAGATTGCTTCTAGAAACCTTACAAATAGGACAGGTTCGCTTCATGGTCTGACAGCAAATGAACCAAACCCTTTCGAAGTTGAGCTTATATCATATTTGATTAAAGGCCTGGTCTCTAAGCAACGAATAGCTTGATAAGTTACTCATTCATTCATTCAGTCAGTCAATCAGTCAGTCATTCAGTCAGTTATTCAGTTATTCAGTCACTTATTCAGTCAGTCATTCAGTTATTCAGTAATTCATTCAGTTATTCAGTCAGTTATTCAGTTATTCAGTCAGTCATTCAGTTATTCAGTAATTCAGTCAGTCAGTCAGTCAGTCAGTCAGTCAGTCATTCAGTTACACAGTCAGTCATTCAGTTATTCAGTCAGTTATGCAGTCAGTCATTTAGTTATTCAGTCAGTCAGTCAGTTATTCTGTCATTCATTCATTCAGTCAGTCAGTCATTTAGTTATTCAGTCAGTTATTCAGTCAGTCATTTAGTTATTCAGTCAGTCAGTCAGTTAATTATTCAGTTATTCTGTCATTCATTCAGTCAGTCAGTCATTTAGTTATTCAGTCAGTTATTCAGTCAGTCATTTAGTTATTCAGTCAGTCAGTTATTCAATCAGTCAGTAATTCATCCAGTTATTCAGTCATTTAATTCAGTCAGCCAGTAAGTTATTCAGTCATTCAGTTATTCAGTCAGTCATTCATTCAGTCAGTCAGTTATTCATTCAGTTATTCAGTTATTCAGTCAGCTAGTCATTCAGTTATTCAGTCAGTCATTCAGTTTTTCAGCGGACAAATTTTTTTTTTCCCTATCTCATTCTAAGCCAATAAGCGTTAGCGCTTACCTCAGAGGTCATATGAAAGCGTATAAATAGGAAACAAGATTAAACGAAATTCATTTGACCATCATGTCTCAAGTGGTAAAGAAGAACCGCAGCTATCTACAACTCTTAGTTTATTGCCCACATCATCAACGAAAGCTRTTGCTTGAAACGGCAACTCCCGCGCAGGTGCATGCAATTGTTCAAGCAGCACATAATATATGCAGAGGACATATCCCTTTGAGTAATAGAGAAAAAGAAATCTTGATGCCTTTTAAAGATTCTATCAAAGAACTCGAAGACCCAAGCACTCCATATAAGAAAAAGAAACAGATTCTCGTGCAAGAGGGGGGTTCATTTATTCCCGATATGTTGACCCCCTTCCTCAGTGCTCTTTTATTGCTATAAATTTGTCAGCTGGAGGAATCAGCAGTCATTTGCTTTGGACATCGGTGCAGTAAACGTCTCTAGCATGAATAGAAAGTCATCTTTAGATAATGAAGCTGAAGAAATTCATGAAATACCTAATGATGAAGATAGCGAGAGTGATGATGATGAAGAGCCCATAATCCAGTTAGTGTTACAAGAGCTCCCTGGTTCTGTTTCTCAACAGCATGCTTCAGATCTTTTGCACAGTATGGCTGCATCTAAAGACATTTTGTTTTGGACTCCGAGAGGGGAATTACTCCGTAATCAACGTCGTATCCCCGAAACCAGCATCTCAGAACTTTTGGAGTATCTGCTACTTCCTTTCAATAACGATATAACAAAACCGCGTGCCCTCAATTCGTTCCTGGAAGGACTGGCGGAGCTCGGAATCAACAA